GAGTGCGATGGGAGAAGAAGAGAGACACACACAGGGAGAGAGAGACCATGAAAGGAGGCGTTATGCAAGTATCATCGAGGCTCAGGTGGTTGTGTGTGCTTGTGGTGTAGTCGTGGGAGATTAAAGGACTATGATTAATAGTAGGGTAATTATAAAACATTAGAAATTCAAGGTGGAATTAATTGACCTAGAGATAGAATAACCTACTGTCAATACAAATAGGATACAGGCCTACACCCTACCACCCCACGGGCCACTGCCGCAGTTACACTGTCTTAACTCAACAGTCCACGGTCTCCTGTCGCGGTCTCGGTTTCAGAACCGCTACAGCCCTAGCTGGCATATAAAACATATACAATCTGTCCTTATTTGGTGTAATAATAAGGCTTTATTATCGTCTCAAATGTGAAGGTGTAAAAATGTGAAATAGCTTAGTGTTGATCAGGTTATTGGGTAAAAAGAAAAATATTTGAAGGAAGAATTGGTTGATTTTGCAATTCTTATAGTTACACATACAGAATTGAGGGATTTAAGTCAACAGAACATGAGCTTTAAACAGTACAGGGGACCAAAGGATAGCTACATGAGATTTGAAATTATTAATTGGTTAAATCCAAACAACAAAGTCTAATCTCATTGCTTTACTCAGAGGTTTGTCATTAAATCATGGAACTGGCCAATGAACTGGCCAGTATCTCAGTCCTAATGAACGTCTAACGTTGCTTTAATGCTCAGTTTGGGCTGTGACAGTTGATGTGTGTTTGCACACAGAGGTTCTATAAAAAGGCAGCAGCGTTTGTGCTGCGTGCCGTTGCCAAACACTCCCCCGAGCTGTCCCAGGCTGTGGTGGCCTGCGGGGGAGTGGACGCCCTCGTCCTCTGCCTGGAGGAGTTTGACCCCGGGGTGAAGGAGGCAGCCGCCTGGGCTCTAGGCATCATCGCACGACACAACGCATGTAAGAAGACACACTAACATGCTCGGATTTCTGATTTCCCTCTGCCTTTTTCTGCACACATATTAACCGCCTTGACCTTTCTGTGTTTGTTTTGTTTTCCAATCCCCGTGCAGTGTTGTCTCAGTCGGTTGTGGATGCGGGTGCTGTTCCCCTGCTGGTGTTTTGTCTGTTGGAACCTGAGATGGCCCTCAAACGCATCGCAGCTTCCACCCTCAGCGACATCTCCAAACACACACCAGAGCTGGCCCAGACTGTGGTGGACAGTGGTGCCATCGCACATCTGGCACAGATGATCCTCAACCCAGACGCCAAACTCAAGGTAGGTCTCACTTAAACAGCTGCTGGTTTAGCTCAGCGGACCCTGTATACATTTATCACTGGATGTTTTTATGGAATTACAGTTTTAATTATTTTCCTTTCTTTGTAAAATGTTTACAAATCTTATAAGAACACTTGCCAAATAAGGTAATACAGACATACATGCTAAATATTCATGTGACCAAGGTTTCCTCCATTGTTCTGATTATTGAAGCTTAAGGCTGTTTTTAATAATAACAAAATATCCTTTTATATATTTTTTTTCTCCACACAATATTAATAAAGGATTATAACAAAACCTTGTAGAGCAGATTTGTGAATAGAAATTTTTAAAAATGTACTCAAAAGACAAAGTTCTCAAAGTCTAAATATTTGTATATTTTATCCTTTACAGTTTCTGTTGGGTCTATTCCATGTTATTGTTCTTTCTCTGTGTATTTGTCTTCCATATACATTAATTGAAGTGATTTAAAAAATGTTCTGAAGCATATTTTTATTGAAGATACAGAGTTGAAAATGTTCTCGGTCACAAATAAGAAAGATAGATCATAGACTTAAATTTATACAATTATTTTACATTTCTTGCATTGAGTAAAAATATCCATTGTAGTAAATCAGTTTAATTTCTGATTACACATAGTACAGTGTTATAAAACATTGTCGTGTTGACATTTTACAGATCTTGTAATCAACACAATCATACAGAAAGTTGATCAAAAAGCGGCACCTATCATTGACAGAATTCAAAGATAGAAATCTTTCAAATGAAAATCTAAATGTTGAATATTAACATCGACTGCAGAAAGATTTAGTAACTTAAACAATTCCACAGTAAATGTATTTCATGCATGCAGGATGTAGTGCAGTAACATATAAAGTCAGTGTCATTTCCATATAGAAAGCTACGACATGCATCTTCAGTGGAATTTACAACAATGTGAATTATTCCGACATGTTCCCATCCAGAGACAGGTGTTCTCAGCCCTCAGTCAGATCAGTAAGCACTCGGTCAGCCTGGCAGAGATGGTGATAGAGGCCGAGATCTTCCCTGCAGCAGTGGCCTGCCTCAGAGATCCAGATGAGTATGTCCGGAAGAACGTCACCACCCTGATGAGGGAGGTGGTGAAACACACACCAGAGGTACTGCACACACTCACACACTTGTAAGGCAATGTATGTATGTGTTGCCTGGACACAAAGTAATGCATGTGTGTGTATGTGTGTGTGTGTTTCCAGCTGTCCCAGGTGATTGTGAATTGTGGTGGCATGGCAGCAGTGATCGACTATCTGGGCAATTGTCGTGGAAACCTGCGGTTGCCGGGGATCATGATGCTGGGATATGTGGCAGCTCACAGTGAGAACCTAGCCATGGCGGTCATTCTTTCCAAGGTGTGTGTGTGTGTGTGTGTGTGTGGTTGTTAATCTCTCCTCTGACTTCCCCTTCAGTGTGTGACAGCTAAACCCACCACGAGAACCCGACACATCCCTTCAGGTCCGGTATGTAGGTCATACTAACTGGACTGACAGTCTCGCTGTGCTGTGTGTCCTCCTGTCCTGCAGGGGGTGCCCCAGCTGGCCCTGTGTCTGTCCGAGGAGTCAGAACATCACATCAAGGCGGCCACAGCCTGGTCCATTGGCCAGATAGGTCACCACACCCCTGAGCACGCCAAGGCCGTGGCCACAGCTCACCTGCTGCCCAAACTGCTGGAACTGTACATGGATGCCAACAGCTCAGAGGACCTGCAGGCCAAAGTAAGAGCTGCAGCTCTGCAGGTTGATGGGACTGTGTATTAAGCAGAGTGGAAACACTGTTTGCTCATGTTTAACCAGGAAGATTTCGGATTTCGTTTAATTAAAATGTTATAGTAGCTTGTTAATATTTTGTCAGCTTACACTTACAGTGAGGCACAAATAACTGATATTGGTAATTGATCTTTAGTGGATTCTTAGCGAGCACTGTAAGAGGACAGAGCTCTTTTTTTAAGTCATATATGGTGAGATTTTCAGTCACAGGTCAGCTGGTATCAACGGCCAAAGTAAAGGGCACAACAGCCTAGAGGAAGGGAAAAGGTTTATATGATTGTATATGCAGTATGTTTAATTCTTCCTGTTCTCTTCAGACTAAGAAGGCTCTGAAGAGTGTCCTGCAGAAGTGCACCTACCTGCCAGGTCTGGAGCCCCTCCTCTATGATGTTCCAAGCAACATCCTCAAACATGTAGTCTGCCAGTTCAGCAAGGTGAGTGAGCTTAAGGCCAGAATCCCAACCTGAATCTGCATTTTTATAATATAAATGTCAGTTTTTTAAGTTTTAGTGATTGAGATTTTCTATCTGTATTACACACCCTGTCATCCCTCCTATCAAAGGTTCTACCTCATGACAGCAAGGCTCGCCGTCTGTTCGTGACCAGCGGGGGGCTAAAGAAACTGCAAGAGATCGAGGCTGAGCCGGGCTCCCTTCTACAGGAGCACATCAACGCTATCAACAGCTGTTTCCCTGAAGAGATAGTCAGGTGTGGTACACCCCCCACTACACACACATAAACGAAAACAGTAATCTAGCAGTGACTGATTAGATCACATGACCATACAGACAGTAGTAATTTCAGAGCTGTGTGGTGACTCACACAAGTACTAGTACTATGTCCTTTCTCCCCACCATCTTTCCTATCACTATCAGCTGAAACCTGTCCTATAACAATCATACATTCTTATTTCTTTTTGCATTTTTCTTAGACATGTTTTTTCAGACACGGTGGTTTAACAATAAATTAAGCCTAAATAAATTCCAATAAAATGAACACTGCATAATTACAATCAAGGTTTAATAAGAATTAACTCAGCAAATACAATTAAATACGTTTACTGTTTGTAAAAAGAAAATTCCTGGCTGTATAATAATGGTAAAAAAGCACAAAATATCCTTCAGTATAAAACACATTGAGTGTGTGTGTGTGTGTGTGTGTGTGTGTGGTTTCAGGTACTACTCGCCTGGCTACTCGGAGGTCCTGCTGGAGCGGTTAGAGAGCTACCAGCCGGCCTGACATCAGCTCACACATCCTGCTGAAATGTTAACATGAGGATGTACCGTGCATATGCCTTCACAGTAAACTGAAGCTGTTTAAACCAGAAAAAAGTTTTCCATCTTTTATATTGTGTTATACATTGTATTCTGTATTAGGAGCATATATTCCAATGTTATCACTATATGCTGTGTAAAAGACTCTAAAGATAAAGGAGAGAATAAAGGATGCAAACTATTCCTCTTGTGCCCACTACAGAGAGGTCAGAGGTCACATTCAGCAACAGAGCAGCAACCCTGAATGTTAGTTGCTCAAAGACACTTCAGCAGGCTGGATGGATTGGAACCTGAAGGGCAGCTATCACACCTTCATTTTCCATTACAGAGAATAAGCTACTCTATGTATCTGGGATAATGAATCTCTAGCTCCATCTCTGCTGTGGTTTGCAGGGGTCAGACTGCCTCCTGGCGGCCGTGACTCACCACTGCAGCTACAATGTGTGTGTCTGTGTGTGTGTGTGTGTGTGTGGGGCAGCTGCAGCGCACATGGCGAGCCGCTCTTTGTTTATTGTCTGCAGGGTTGTCTCTGCTTGTTCTCCACATTGTACTGACGCTGCAAATGAGCCTCCGCCTCTCACCGCAGCGGAGATCTGAACATGCTGCTGCAGCTGCCGCCTCCCCCTCCCCCCTCCTCCTGTCAGAAATCTGATTTTACATCCACACAGCAACAGGACTCCGGTCTGCGATGTAAATGATCTCTTTCCGGGGATTTGAACCAGGCTTTGATTGCTTCCCTTTTTAATATTATTCATAATAATGAATAAATGCAGACTTTGAGTTGATGTGGAAGAATAAAGATAGAGCCTACAGCTGCCGAGTTTAGAGGATATAATAAATAGAATAGAAATGAGCATATTTTATATTTGAGGTATAAACAAACCAAAATAGGATCAAAAAGAAGACGCCTGCGTATTTCCTTAGTACAGCCTGTAGGATAGCCTAACCTTGGCATTTTGCTATACAGCCCGGTACAAAGCAATAGACTGCCTTTTGTGTAACGGCGGACCCAAGAACATCTTTTTTATTCTAATTTATTCATGTTGAATAAAAGTGTGTGAACCTGTCTTTGGAATATGTATATATATATTTTAAATATTAAGAAATAATAGCCTTCATTAGATGTATAAATTACATCATATGTAAAATGATATAATGAAAAAGGCAAAAAGAACTAAAGACAAAGAGACTGTACAGGTCAGACCATAGCACACTTACACTGTAGGTTATTTACAATAGTTCATCTCTCGGGGTGATAAATATAAAGCATAATAATGATTTTAAAAAAAAGAAGTCACTAATGTAAAAGAAAAATTAGGCATCCAGATTTGAATTTAAATGTGAATAATTAGGAACTAATGAAGGCGTGGTCTGTTTTCTGGTAAAGCGTTGCGACAAACCTTTTTATTTAAAAAAATGTATGTGTGCATGTAATACTTTTTATTGTGCCTCCATCTACTCTGACATTATTTATATTTGTTCCATTTGATCTTCAGCGAGTAGAAAGGATATATTTTTATTATTTGGTGTCCATCCTCTTCAACAAAAACGCAGACCGGAGTCACAATAGCTTGTTGTCCTTCGTTGTGTTGTATCTGTCAGTTGTGTGTTTGTTCGGCTCACTCACAGAAACAGCATCTCTCTGCTCCCAGCATGCTCAGCTCTACAGTCGGTCTGCACACACAGTGCAGCACGGTGCCGTTTACAGCGCTAATTCTGACTTACTTATTTATAGGTTTTGATAAATTCAAGTGTAAATGACGCAAAGTGCAACGATTTTAAGCGCTTGCGGCATTATGCTCATTTATATCCGGGAACTAAATGAATGTTTGCGGTGTTTCCAACGGCACATTTGTTGTCTGTCTGGGAACATCTGCTCCAGCTCATAAACAGAGGCAGTTGGAGATATTGCTTCATAGTTATGACGATTCAACAAACAAACAAAAATACAGCAAAAAGAGGAAAGAAGCGGTTTTTTCTCAACGCCTTAACGTTTTTCGTTATCGTTCATCTTTCAGGTTTTTCTTCCAAATTTAAACTAATTATTACTTTAAATGTGGATTGAGATGTATTTGATTGTATCAGAGGCAACGGAGGACTAAGTGGGGATGAGACTGATTCACAAGGTTTATAATAATATTAAAAAATTGGAATAATAGTTTTTTGAAAAATGAAAACCAGGCTTAAAGCCCGCAAAGCTCCTTTTCGTTAACCGCGCATTTATTCCTCCTCTCCACCAGTGACAGACGCATGCCATTAAACAGAAAAACATCAGTGTATAACAGACATTTAAAAAAGAAGGAATAAATATGGGACACGGAATTTCAGAACAAAGGAAAATCATCAGAGGTAGACTTTGAGTTAAGCAGAACAAGTGCTTTAATTGGTTTGAGTGAACGCTTATGGAATGGAGTGTATTATTATTATTATCATCATCATCATTAAATGTGAAGAACAATAAACATACATCAACATTTTGGCCTCTCTGCCACTGAAAGGGAACTCTCACCAACCATTGTCAGACACCAATAAACAAACACACACTCACACACATACACACACACAGTAATGGAAGTCTTTTAGATGTAGTCTAAAAGTACTCAGGACTGTTGTGAGACCGGAGCTCAACTGCAGGAGGGGACCTTTTCCTGGCCTGGTGTGTGTTAACTTCCACATGCAAATTTAAAGGGGTTCAAATCTTTTCCAAAATTATTTTTTTCTCCACAAAAGATTTTGTTGATTTTGAACTTTAAAGCCAAAGGACATTTTTTTTCCAGCTCTGCAGATCTTGCCCGGCCTCCGGTCATTTGTATTTGTAACCAAATATTCCCCTTAACACTTAAACCACATCAACACAGGGGCCGTTTCCCACAACTCTGGACATATGTTCACATATCAGCACACTTCGCTCCAATTCCCCAGTACACGTTAAAAAACAAACAAATTCAGTTCAAACAAACACATTATATGATACACGATGTTCTTCAAGCTCATGTGGGGTAGTTCTGACTGCTGAAAGATGCTTTTGGCAAGTTAACAGTGGCAGCAGGTGGACCGGTGGGTGGGGTGAACGGGTGAAGGAGCTCATTCATGAGAGAAGTCACAAAAGCAAGGATTCATTTTACGGTACAGCAGCAGGGCGCGTGTTATTATCGTCTTTAACTTGCATCTGTTAAAGTCTGGCATTGTCACTGCCTTTCTCACGTGAGATCCAGAGTGAATATCCCCCAAAACAAAGCAAAAGAGAACTCACTCTCCCAGCATGCAAATTTCTACTTGCTTATGTCTGACTACAGGGGAGCCTCCAGGGCCAAACAGAGCAAAGCAGACTAGAAGACGATTTTGTTCCCTCATTCCGTTTTCTTTAGGACACAATCTATGTACAGTATGAGCTATGTGACAATAGAAACAAAACAGCCCATTAATAGTGAAAGAACACAGAAATATCAACTATTCACTGACTCAGGATGAACTATCAGCTGATAACACGTAGGTGATCTGGATTACACACAAAAAAATGGAGGTAAGGAAGCAAGAGAACATAAACCTGTTTCGGAAATGAAAAGGAGTTGAAGGTGAAATTTTGGACAAACACTCAAAAGAAAAAAAAAAAATCACATTCCTGAAATGTGACTGCATCTGTGGTATGTGAATAAATGTGATGAAGATCGCTGACAGACTCCTGAGGTTTGGGTGGGGGGGGGCAATCAGTTAGCGAGGACTAGCACGACAAAACACAATCACGACACACGCACGTTCCACAATGCACTTCCACACACGCACGCACACTCTTTATAAAGGCAGGACCAACGTGAATGAACAAGGGATTAACATCGGCCTCGCTCGGAGGAGGAGGAGGAGAAACGCCTGTACACACTGAATAATCACGATGGTGGATTTGAATTTACAGAATTGAAACCGACCCATTATTTTCAAATTTAAGACAGCTATTCACTTCTTTCTGTCGGTTAAAACACAATCATTAGCATGACTGAGTAATAGGAACAGATCTAAATACGGAGGGGTCGGAGTGGAAGAAGGTTGAAAATAAAGTTGGAAATAATGCATGTCAAAGTAAACACCCTATTATTAAAATAACCTTTTACCTTTGTTTTAAAAAAAGATTACAAAATATAAAATTAAATAATTTTGGAGTATAAAGGCACACATTTTGCACAGTGTATACAATGAAAAACAGTTATTTAAAGCATGGTAGGGACTATTTTACGCTGAACAGCTCACAAATCTGGTTAAAGTGTAGGGACACAAAGAGAACCTGAACAGCCAACAACACAGACTAGAGAGGGAAAAGGAAACTTAGTCCTGTGACATGCAATTTTTTTTATGACTTTTTCTTTTTTTAAGTACATCGATAGTAAGCATTGTATAAATTCAAGCAGTATCATTCTTCATTTACCACAGCACCATCATTCATTCCTAAGGGTGGCTCCTTTTTTCTTTTTTTAAATACAACTATATTTAATGACTAAAATCCAATGTAAAAATATAAATGTGAATATAATCTATGATATCAAACAAACATATTGTGATGGAAGCTTTTTGCATGGGTTAAAATAGTCAAGGAGGACGACTTTACTTGTTTTAGTTGGTTATCCAGAAGTGATACACAACGTCACACTCACAACAGCTTTTCTCACTTACATACAAGTATATTGCATTTCCCTTGTTAAGACCATATCAACTAATTGGGATCATATTCGTAACATTTGGTTCCTTTCCTCTTGTGCAAAATATACAAAAAAAACCTCAAACAGAAACAAAAAAAATATTACCACATCAATTCATAAAACCGCCAAATTCAAACACAGATAAACCACCTATAAAAAATGTCAAAAATAACACAAACAACGAATAACAGACTCACAGCTGAGGTTAGAGAAGAGAACGACGCTGTTGGTGTTAATGACTTAACAACACGTATCTTTACATCTGCAGCTACTCTTCCCAACCTCCCTCCTCCTCTTGCTTTTTCCCGCCCCTTTACAACTTTTGAACACTGACACACACATCGCTCGCCATCATTGGGTGTGCGCTGGTACGATGCTGGAGGTAAACAGTCTTCTGTCTGCCCTGAACGCACAAGCACAGTCGCACTGTTGCCTGGTGCCAAAACCCACCACCACGACACCGCAGAGCATTTCAAAAAAAGGATTGTAAAGGTTAGTTTTACGAAAGCCCTGTAAACAGAACTCATTCACTTTCTCCGTCTTAATATTGCAGTAAATTCTTCCCAACCAATCCCTACAGTAAGAAGTACCCAGGTGAGAAATGGCGGAGGAGATGGGATTTGAGATCAGGCCTCGTAAGATTCAATTCTAAGAAAGCAAAGTTCCTTTTCCTCTTTGTTGCAGCGCATGTAACAGAACGAGAGCTCCTAACCTCTAACAACAAATAAAAGTGCAACATTTTTGATTTTACTCATAAGGTGCTGATGGCAACAGAAAGTTAAGGGCTGTTGATGTTTTAATGTGACACCCTTTACGAAGATATAACAAGGAGTGACTCTTTATCACTACAGCCCCACAAGACTTCTGGGTCATTTCCTGCCACAGGAACAGAGACCAGGCCTTCGTAACAATGCCCAACGTATTCAGAGTGAATGCAAGTAAATGACACCGTGTGCTCGAATCACTCCTCTTCTCATTTTAAAAAGGTACATATCCTTCCCTTAATCATTCTTAATCACTGTGCATCTTGACAAAGTAAAAGGAACAATGCACTGACGACCACTGAGTTGCAACTAGTGCTGGAAACAAGCGGTACAATTTACTGCAACAAGTAAACTCATCTCAACTGATGAGAAGTGTTTGTTTGAGCGTGTGGCAAGAGGACAACCCGGAAGTTTAATTCATTAACTATACACAAAGGAGTGGGAGGGGGAAGGGGACGCATCGAATGGGTGAGTGATGGAGGAGGAACCCAAATAGGAAGATTTGTTTGGCTGAGTACTTGTATAGCATTTGGGTGGGGGCTCTGACTGTTGGCCTATTGGAAGACTGCTTCCTACTTCCTGAAATGAAGCAATTGCATTAGGCGAGGCTCAACATTAAACTTCCTTGTTACATCTTGCTTAAGCCTTCTCCATGTGCCGCAATCTGACCTCTGCAACCCCTTGAGCTCACACTATACACAACCCCCCCCCCCTTCCAAACATCATAAGGGAAAGACAAATAAAAACACTCCCCCCCAAAAACCCAGGGTGCTTGATGTTGTATTAGAGGCAATAAAAAAAAAGCCATATTCCCACATAAACCATACAGACAAAAACAAATTATATAAAAAAAAACGTAATGACTTCGGACACTTGCTTTCAACACCCTTATCATCCAAAGTAACACATAAACAAAACTCAACAGAGGAGAGGTTAAATGTAAACGAATTATGTTTTCTTTAGCTGCAGAGCGTGGCACCCCACAAAAAGAGAGTAAAACAGGGAGGGATGAGGAGAATGGATGAGGGAGAGTGATACAAAGCCATCACAGCACCTTATTAATTCAGCCTCTCGATGGTTTTTCTCTCCGTCCCTTCTCTTCTCTACTCCCCACTTGCCCTCCCTTTCCCATGTGCCTCTGTGCCCCCTGTCGTTCCTGGAGGCTATGACAGGATAGTGGTGATGAAATCGTAAAACCTCTTGGAGTACTGCTCTGGGTTCACTGTGGAGATCTCCGCTCCGGCCTGTAGGGGGACACGCAAACGTCTGTCATTCGTCCCATGCATGTAAAAAAATGTGTCGTAGTTTGTTTTTGACAGAACCATTTCAATAGCTCCTGTGTGCAGCTACATACCCCATGTTTGACAGTCTTGGCGGCGTGGGCAGCTTTCTTCTTGGCATCGTAATGCTGAAGGATGTCTATGACAGCCATGAAGTACACCTCCTTCCTGGGAGCAGCTGTAGTTTGAAACAAATGCACCCTGAATGAGGATCTATATATTTATTTTGATTTTATCCTCTGCAAAACCAGGTTGTTACCTCAAGATAATAATATTTGACAGCAGCAGATTTGACAACTACAATGCCCAGTAGGGGGGGCTCCCAGTACTGTATTTATTATTAAGCTGTTAAAACAACCCCTCACATTACAAGGCAACTATTATAAGCCTAAAAAACACATGTACTTGGCTACTCACTCTCATTGCTTTTGATGGCGTAGACATCAATGGCGGGATCAAACTCCCCAGGTGACAGAGGCTTGGTGCTGTCCAGGGTGTTGCTGGGACTGTCGGGGGGCGTTCCGATGCCCCCTCCGTCGCTTTCACCCTCCTCCTCGGCCTCATTGTCCTCGCTCTCCACGTCTTCCTGCTCGGCTCGCTCCACATCGTGGATCCCCACCAGCAGACTGTAGTCCATGAGCTTGAGCTGGGCCAGGAACTAAGGACGGAGACAGACGGTAGCACGGTAGAGGAAATAAAAGCAAGAGAGGAGATGGGAAGGTCATGTTTTTAAGGAGGGGAAATAGTAGAAAGGAGGGGCAAGTTGAAAGAGTGGAGCCAGAGAAAGAGAAAATGTATTAATATAGACAGAAATGGGTGACACTGAGGGGGGGGTTATGTCATATGTAAACAGAAAGCCTCCGTTAAAACACGTACCTCCACATCTTTCCTGAGCTTCTCCAGGAACATTTTCTTGTTCTCCCCGTCAATGTAGATCTTCTGCCCATCATTGATGAAGTCATTGTCCTTGTAGGTGGGCAACTCCTTGGCCTGCCCATTAGCATTGGAGATTAGCGACCAAATAAACAACAGTCAAAACCACAACACTAGACCTGAGAGGAATGGTACTGTAGGCGGCAGACCTGGGCAAAAATGTGACAGAATTCTGGTGCTCATATTAAGTGTCAATATTTGTTTTAGAAGGTGAGTAAGTGGGCCGACATAAATATCAATCCAATCACACAAAGCTAGAATTCTTGAATATATGAGTATTGTTTGAAATATTTGACATAAAAAGGTCAAGCATTGAGTACAAATTAAAGATTTACTAAAAGCAGTAATACCAGCATCAGTGTTCTGCATCCTTTTCCCCCAGAATACTTACATTAATACAATAATATACTGCACACGTCTTCACACAGGACTAAAAGATAGCGCTCTTGTTCAGCTATAAGAATTAATGGGTATTTCAAAATGCATGATGACAAAGATTAATTCTAATCTTCAAAATTAGTCACGCAGCCTGTTTAAAAACAACTGCCTGCCAGGATCCTGCATGTTGAAATACCCTGTTGACATAAATGAGGCTTTGAACCTGTGGTTTGTTAGATAAGTCTGATTCAGCCAAATGCAACATATATTTCTGGTAAAAATGAGTTGGCTAGAAAAGTACAGGTAGTCTGTCCAAACCAAAGGCAGACCTCTTTTCAAGCTAAGTGATCTGACTGCGTAAAACAGTACATGCAGCATGCTCACAGCAGGGCACAGATCCATCTGATGCATCAATTTACGTATTTTCCATACTGTTTACAGTGAAATGTATTCACTTCTCAGTACCACGAAACAAAGGGCACTCGGCATTTATTGTGGCACATTGCGCAGAAGGTTGGACAGCTTTTTAAAATGCATCTTGTAGATCCATACACTTTGTGTCATGAAAAAAAAGGACATCCAGCTCAAAGCCATGAAACGTCATTGTCGGCACTGGGCTGGTCTCTGAAAAGCATCCCGTTCCTATCAGTTCGATCACAGAGTAAATCCCTCCCTGAGAACACAATCGTTCATTTAAGATGCTTCTCGGAAACCAGACTGTGGTTTGCATCTAATTTTTTTTTATAGCTCTGTAAAGCCAGCGCACTCTATCTCTGTGACAGATTCCCACTATTCAGCCTAGAAGCAGATTGAAGGAGTTTCCTTTTTTAAGTGTCTATCTACTGGGAGTCATTTTCTTCTTCATCAGGCTGCTGCAGAACCGCCAGCAGCCTGTAGGGGGAGCAGGTGTTATGTGAGGAGGGACAGGGCCTAGTTCTGAGTCACCGAGGAAAAAGAGAGCAGGAAATGTGGTAACAGGGCAGCAGCAGCAGTTCAGCTACTACAGTGTTTCTATGGCAGCAGGAGAAGAGCAGCAGCACAACAGCAGTTTGTAGCACTAGAATGAGGACAGCACACTGACACACATACATACAAATACAGATTAGACCTTTACACAGATAAAGACAGGAATACAGATCACAAAATGAAACATTTGAGCATATTTATATACACAGACATAGACCTCCAATTTGCAATAAATATGGGATGTACAACTCGCTGGACTGAATATAGATGCGACATAAAAAGTTAATGAGGACGCAACACAAGGCTGACTGCAAAGAGTGAACATCACCTGAAAGCATTTTGCAGGTCCGTCACCTAAACCGACCCACCAGCTCTAACATTCATCCATCTGTCTACGCTTTCATTTTCAACTGCATTTGATTTCCGTGCCATACATTCTCGGTCTCTCTAACCGCTTCATTACGTCTTATACCTTCTCCCAGTCAGGCATAGGATTCTATCAGTGGGACTGTTATTGATTTTCTCAATTACAATCGCTGCAATGAAATGTGTCCGACTCCTGAGTGGTTCACTACATTGAGGTATAGTAAGCAGAAAAAACAGGAAGATATATTAGAGGCAGGAAGAAAGAATGGGTTGTCGATTTCTCACCGACCTTAAAAGATGAATCTCATTTCTTTTTGGTCTCCCGTCAGCTGGCTGGGAAAACGGATCTTGGTCTTTGACAACATTAATGTCTTGGGAGTCTCAGAAGGACAAAGGATTTGTGGTATGCCAACACTGGGGTGTTCCTAGAACCATTGTGTCCAGTATATTCCAACTGACGGCCAAGATTAACACCCACCAGCACGTTTCACATCAGTGATGCAGTTTGTAAATTATGAAGTCTGACCAATCCTTTTATCAGTTAATAGCAAATCAGCTGGTTTATATCAAACGCATGCAAGGAAACATGAATCAAGCACTTCATGTGTTTATTTAGCATTATTATATGTGCAGACACAGTATAAGATGTGTATATCACTTATGCATAATTAATGGTTTGGATTTGTATGAGAACTCTTGAAAACAAAACAGTTGGAGTATGTGAGCTGGGCATAAACAATAGAAGTGCTTCAAAGTGTTGGCACCTGAAGGGTTTTGTCAAATGTTCCCTTTAATCACCAAACCATTTCTGCCTTTAAACTAAAAGCAGAATATCTAAAACCATTACAGCTGTCATATGCTGGGCTATTTTTTGGAAGGCAATGTCCCCCCAGAAATAGAACCAAACAGAGAACTGAGACACTGGTAATATCACAAAAATACTGACTGCTCATAAAATAAACAGAAGTCTGTGGATATTATAAAACTGACCAGACTCACATTGCCTTTGGATCAGATTACCTGTACATATTATACAGCATTAACACCTAAAATAAAACACCAAACAAACCTGACTCATCTATTAGACTAGCTATTAACTAATGTCCCTAGGCACCTGCTCACCCACTGCCAAATACTTTTTCAAGAAACAAAGGCTGCAGTGCGGTGCTGGACATAGAGCCAGGAAATATTATCTGAACTCTTTTAACTCTTCTTCTTCTTCTTAACTGATTTAGAAGACAAATCAAAATATGTGTGTTCTGTTTTTTTTCACTCTTGTGGTTAATGTACGCTGGTTGGTTAATGTTGTCTGCTTATCAATTTCTACTGCAGAACATGTACAGTTTTTATGTAACTCGCCAGTTAGTTTCAGTCATTAACTTGGAATAAAAATGCCAACAAAGCAAGGAAGTTCTCCCTCAGAAATAAATCATCTTTCCAGCAACGTAACAAGTATGTACTTTCTCTTCCCATCTCTGGTTCCTGAATTTATTTATTTTTGACCACGCAGCGTGTCCTTCCCATTCATGCCACCACTTTACTCTTCCACTTCTTTCTCTCCAGTGTTTCAGATACATGGTGCCGTTGAGTGAATGGTGGGAACAAAAAGAAACTGTTTGGCGAAAACTAAAACTGAACTGGCTGACAAGTTGAGCAAAAGGTGATTGTAAATGGATGAAAAGTATGCAAAATATGGCCTTGAAATAACAGTGTATCAGCTTGGAGAAGACGAGGAAACGAAAATGCTCGGCCGTACAAAAAATAACAATAAAATAAGATTGGTTTAATAGATCATGCCTGGTATATGAGCCCTGGTTCTCTTACATCTCTTACGTGTTTCATGGCGCAGTAAAAGCGCGTGGCAATCCGCAGTGTTTGCAGCCTTTGCTGAACGTTACCAGATTTGGGCCGCGGGGGCACATCCTCTGGTTGGGGCGGCTGCTAGAAAAGGGGGAGCGAGGGAGGGACGGTAGGGGTGGAGGAGAGGAGAGAAGAAAGGAGAGGAGAGGAAGGGAGGAAGGAAGTTGGAAGTAAAGGCATAGTGTTTAAAATGTAACAGAACACAATTGTTTTTTTTCAAATTGGTAGAGGGTTGGAAAGGGTATCAACGCGAAAGATCGGTGCGACCAGTCTAGATGTTTATAATACTTAGATGTCTTTACAATGGCTGGGTCAAGAAAGTGTATATCAGTGTCCAACAGGTTAATCCAGTGACGATATAAATAAGTGTAAAGATTTTTGCTGTTATGCTATTTTCATGCCACTGGTCTCATTAATCTGTCCCTAAAAAATACTCTTAAATGTTCAAATTTAACAGTTACGTATTTACGACATGACTCAGGTTTGCCTGCACTGATATTATGACTGTTTCCTGTCATAGACGGCTGGCAGAGAAAGGAAGCAGCCTGGCAGCTCCACTCTAAGGAGACTAGGAGTTGTTGGAACTACGAAAAGCAAGGAAACAACTCTAAACTAATTTGGATTCTATAAATCTGTATTCTTCCAAGCATCTATTCAGGTGCGGTACTATTCCTAAGGGCTTACAATTACTGGGGACTACTAATAAAATATCAAGGCGGTTCACACTCAGTCATACTGGCACATTAAAGCCATGTGCCCTCACCAGAAACACCAGCCAGTGCTGGTGTGAGGAAAGAGGAGAGTAAACAAAAAAACATAACAACTGTAACAGATACCTACTGAGCAGAGACCTAGTGGAGACAGGTGGTATTCCACAACCCAAGGGCCAGTAGCTATCTAATAACATACGAACACCACCTCTATATTTTCCAGGTAACATACAACAAACACTGCAATCGCACAAATCCCCTCCACCAGTGTTGTTGGTCAGTGTCCTAAATGGGCCATGGACAGGTTTTTTGTGGTTAACCACAAAGTAAAATAAAGTAACTAGTATGGTTTCATCTGCTTGGTAAAATGCTTTACAGAAAGCCAATTGCTGCTGTTTGATTGTCAAAAATCTGAGACAGCAACTACAGGAACCGCAAATTTTATTTTATGAAAAGAAAAATACATGTCATATGTGGGTAGAACAGAACATGTCCACAATGTGCAACAGAATGGGGCTGGTGTTCATACACATCGGAATGTGTTAGAAATAATGTAACTTTAAAAAAGATGCAGAAAATCATTATATACCATGCAGACGCATGCATGAAAGGGAGACGGTCATGCATTCAGGAGAGAACCTTGCCGTGCTTGTTGTTTGTGTGTATGAAGCAATTATTATTATTATTATTGTTTTACACACACACACAGTACCTTCTTAACAAAACACATGGTTTTCCCTCTTAATCTCCTTTTACTGGCCAACTGCAGTTGGTGTTTTCACACTAGTGGGACTAGTGTTAGTCTAGTGGTCACACACTGGACTTGAACAACAACTACAAAATAATTAAGTACACAAAAGTAATCACAGCCACTGAGCACTTGTAATGGTATGTACAAAGGTGTTTCATGTGGAGAAACCAGCATGTGTCTTGTCAGATCCTTGTATTTGATGTCTGGAGCTTTAGGCTATATCCACACTACTACATTTTTGTTTTAAAACGCATATGTTTTGCTATGTTTTCACCTAGCTACTTTACTCACATAATCTCAACGAGCAGAAGATAAGACTTTTGGAAACAATGACTGATTGGGTTTTATCAGTCATAACATGTCATTCCCTGATTACCCACAACCCCGTCACACGGCATCAGCAGCTCATGCCAAGAGAACCAGTGGTTAATTCAACATGGAAAACGAATTACAGGCGTTGCTGACTTTGTTGTTTATACTAGCAGCTGTTGTGTGGTGGAAGGACGCTGTTGTCAATAATGGATTTGTTTTGATGTGTCAGTTTAACAGTTTACCAAGATATGATAGCTTTGATTAGCCTATATATATTATATTGTCTATATTTAAAAGACACAAAAAGACTGTACAATGTAATACAGTGAAGAAAAAAGGCACAAATACACAATGCAATGGATAATGTTTTGATAAAAACAGCATTATCCAAGAGGATTTTATGTCCTGCTTCCTGTTTACACCGCATGCTTAGTATCCCTGAATGGTCTTGTGATATGAGTTTTCATGGAAAAAGATCATTTCTGAAATGGTACTAAAACGCTTGTCCGGACGTTGATTGTAGTAGTGTGGATGCAGCCTTGTGCTGCTTAGTTGTGTGTGACAACGTACAGAGAATAAGCAGTGAATGGCTTTACCTGTGGTGGCAATTACTGTATAATGCTTACTGCAATAGTGGCATGTCACTGAAAGGTAAAACAACCACAGGATTCACACAGCAACCACTTGTCATAATTTGTGAGTTAAGAGTCAGTGGTAGTAAGTGTTGCCTTCATTCATGTTAGCTTGATAAAAACGATGATGCTTCTTAATATCTACTGCTAGACTGTAAATGGTGTTTCACACACAGCTGAGCTGCAGATAAAAAAGGTCATACAGAAGGCTAATGTGTGTGTTAAATCCAGAGCTGCTTTGTTTTCCATTCACTTTAACCCCATTAACGTTTTGTTTCTTCTTCCATTTACAGTGGGCTATATTTAGTTCAGGGATTCCCTTAAGTCTTTCATGCCTCACTGAATGGTGCCCCACAATTAAGCTCCTGTAAAACCCTGGTGGAAAGTTCAAACCCCTCTGGTTTGAAACTGTGACACTCATATTAAAAAAAACCTAACCTGTTTCATGGTCAGACAAAGCTGTGCAGAGCAACATGTGGAGACATGCAATGAAAAAGAATAAAATAAATAAATCACTGTCTCCTTCCAATATTGCTGAGCTGACAGGTCAAATGAACAGTACTCCAAAGTCACAGTGTTCAAGGACAGTCTCAGCAACTTCCATCACACAAAAGGTCAAAGCCTTTTATCTATAAAAAAACAAATTCTTTATATCTGGTAAAATATCCTTTCTAATTGTTCCCTAATAAAATTTAAACAGGTAGCACAGAGAACCATCAGGTCCTTTGTAATTTCAGTGACACAATTAATTAGTGACAAGTGACTCTGTCCAGGCAGCCAAGAGCCAAAAACTCAAAACAGCCAGTCTCACACAATCATCACTATCAATCGAACAAAACCTCCCCATCTTGTATATACCACTCTCTCTCTCGCTCACACACACA